CATGCTTTTTCCCACCCCCTACCCCATTTTGCTTTCCTTGCTTTATCTTCACAGATTAATTCCAAATGTGTTTTTCTCTTGTGTGTTCACTTTGAATATTGAAGCATTCAGCTAATGCCAAGCTAATGGATAACGTAAGCTCCTCACTACAAAACTTCAAAGTCTCCAAGTGTGTTTCTTCATGCCTTGGGGAAGTGCTACAAAGGGCTTATATTCATGTACAGTTTTGTCTGCCACTTGTGCAAGTTTCTGTTTGGACTTCTCTTTCTCTTGCTGCCTGATGGGAAGAAATGGGCAGTCATCTCCCTAGTGGTTTTATCTCCCCATCAGGCATGAGTGCAAGGGGTCAGATGCCCCTCTGCATGCTAGTCACCATCTGCTGACAGAAGCGCTCCCCCAGGAGAGCTGGCTTTGTTTACTGACAGGGCTAATATGAGGAGACACGTGAAGTACTTTGGTTTGTGGAAGAGGGCAGGAGAGGCATGGTGCTGTGAAAACATTCCCACACACTCTAATGGCTCATTCACATAGAAAACAAGCGAGAGCCTTCAGCTCTTTCACAGAGCTCAAAGTAGAACAAACAAACTCAAGAACCCCAAGGCACCAGTCAAAAAACACTTTCCTTATGCACGAATACTGATATGCTCTCCATGATAGCTTGCCTATGGGACTTCAGCTCTCTTTTAGGAAACTAAATGACCTGGCTAGAATGAAAAGCTGCTCAGTAGCTGGTAGTTGCTGTTGTTCACTGTTAGCTGCTAAATTGTTTCTGAAAATCCTACCTTCAGTTTCCTAAACCTATACCTCCTAAAAGTGGTTATAATAGGCGAAGCGTGCATTGGAGAATTTTATCAGTACACGCACCAGTTGATGATTTTCCCTTTAGATTGAAAGCTTAAAATCTGTAGAACACAGAAGCAGTACAGCATGGCTAAAAAGACATACATTTTTTGCTCTGTAGTTGACAGAGACACATACAGATGCAGACATGAGTGTGTAACTTTAGAATGTAATCAGAGGATCAAAAAGAAGTGACTTTCTGAATGAGGTCTCAAACACAGCTGGGATACATGTCACGGAAAAGTCCATATTATAGGCTGTTTTAAGTGATGAATGATGTTTAGTGAACAGCAGCATTCGTTACTCTGGTCTGCAATTTATAAAATGTATAAGAAGACAACACAAACAGTGATACTAGGTTAACCCTCAAGTTCATGTAGCTCAGTATCTGAACTCTAACACCAACCTGTGTTGCATAATTAGAAATAAAGCAGAAGAGAGCAAACTCAGAGTGATTCTTCTGTTAAGATATCCTACCAAATATGTATCAATTTGTGATTTAGGGAATTTCAAAGTCTGGTATGGCATCATGGTATAACAAAGTATTATGTAAAAAGGATTTCCTGCTTGTTCTAGAAGTGCTATGAAACTCCTTAGTTCTTGCATTTTGAGAAATACTTCATTACAGTACTGTCTTCACCAGCTCTATGACACTTACTATTTTCTAATCATTCCTCCATTCATCTCTTTACTTCCTGAAGGGTCCTAGTCTAATTTATTTTGAAATAGAAGCTGCTCCATATTTGTCACCATGTTTGTTGCTCTGTTATTTCCAGTAATTTTATATCTTTCTGTGCATTGCTGAGTGGACCAGAACTACAAACTCGCTGCTGTATGGATGTACCAATGACAATATTTGGTGATATTTGATCACTATTGAGCACTGAGCTGATATTTTCATAGAAGTAGCCATGGTAACTCCAAAATCTTAATACCTGCATGACAATACTAATTGTATCCCAGTAAAATAAATATGCAAGTATATGTGGGCATATAGACACAAAAACACACACACACCAATTTATTTTCAGAAGTAATATATATGCATATAACAGTCCACATATCCGTAGTTAGCTCTGTTTTCCCTGGTAGGCATTAAGTTACATGTACAGAATTTTCTGCCATTATATAGCCCCATTACTCAGTACTGTAAAATTCATAAACTTTATTTTATAATTAGCTTTTGTCTTTACTTCGCTGAATCCTCAGTAACTCAGTATCTACTTCTATTTCCAGATTATTTAGGGGTATATGTTGAGCAGTACAGAGGCCAGCACATATCTTTCTGAGAAATTAGTGATAATCTTCTGCCAGGATGAAGAATGTCTTGCCCTTTCTTATCTTTTATTTTAATAGAAGACCTGAGCTCTTTTAATAGAGCTTAATCTCTTTCAGAGTCTTTGGTGGGGACCTTTTAAGAACAAATGTAATCCATTCATTGATGTCTTGACCCTTTATATTCAACTATTGTACCTATAGCCATGTAACAACTTTGAAGAATAGGACTAAAATATACACACTCCCTTTTCCATTTTTGCTCACTGTGAGTTCTTATCAAAGTCAATATAGCTCAAGGAGTTGTTGAAATGGTTATGACTATGTGAAAGCACCAGGTCAAATATATTAGCAAGAGCAGGAGTGCAAACTAACCCGAAGTCGATAATTGCATGTTACATTTGCTTTAGTTTTTTACTACTTCTGAAGGAAGGTAATGTCTAATTTAAGATTGGTTCTAAAAATATTCATATATGGCCTAAAATAACCCCACTTTGGGAATATGCCACTGCAAATGTGAAGTTTTTGAAAAGGCTTCACTTTTTTGGTAGATAAGAGTATTGTTCAGTTCCACCTTCCAATGGATGGAAATGTGGTTTAGTATACCACATTTTTTGAGATGTGTGGTATAGATTAAAGGGCAAGATTTGGCCCTCAGTTACCTGCTATTACTGGCACTAACCTCACAGCTATTGAAAAATGATGCATCAGATCTATATCACTGCAAATGTCACTCTTCTGAATCTTGCATATGTTGCCTGAGCTGTCAGTAATAAAAATCTGTTCTTAATTATTCTCCCATTTAAAAAATAATAATTTTCTAATAACCCAGTGAATAGGAATTTGATGTTTTCTTTGGCTGGATTTAGTACATCTATAAAGTTCTATGTGCTTTTATAATAGAGTAGCTTTTGCAAATGAGTAGGACTTTCCCATTTAAGTCCCAACAGCTATGAAGAAAAGCAGAATTTGTTTAAATCTGAGTTAAGTTTAAAAGTGAGTAACTTAAGGAAAATATTTTAAGAAAAAAACAATTCATCAGAAAGCCAGACAGACAAAATTGGGTTTACATGTGTTACAGGGATGCAAACTATAAAAATGTATAGTTAAAATTAATCACATTGTATATTTTAATCTTTTGTCCATCTATTGTTTTTCCTTAATTGAAAAGAATAGGGTTTATTTTTGCTTCATGAATATTATATAGAACTGATTTCACAGTGATGGGAGAATGAAAAAAAACAAAGAATATTAAGAAAGTATAAGAAGAAAAATTAAGGCTTTGGCTAGTATCACATTTTCTGGTTGGAAGCAGAATAATCCAGATAATAAATCCTATTTGCTTTTAATACTTTTTTCCCCCCTCCATCACATTACTTCTTTCAGTTAATTACCTTCATTCAAAGCCCAAAGAAGTGAACAGAAAAGACTCCCTTTGAAACTTTGGACTAGCCTCAAAGATATGATAATTAGCATGAAATTCTACCTTCATTAAAGGTTGAAGAGTTTAAAATACACAAAGAGTAACATGCTCTCCTTTCTTTGTTTTTTCAACGTGATGATAAACTCTAACATTTTAGCTCATTGCTGTGCTTCACTCAATAACCTTTTGGAAACATGGTTATTAACAGCCAATCTATAAAACACACATAATATACAGCTACAAAAACAAAATGTTTCTTTTTCACATCCATTTGGTCTTGGCAACATATATTTAAACAGGAGTATGTAAAACATTGCATACAAAACACTGTAGTTGATTCTGGATAATATTTAATAACCTTGCTTGGTTGCTCCACAAACCAGACTGCTATATTACTGTTTAAGTTTCTGGTTCTATCTCTGTTTGTATCTGAAATTCTAGCCAGAATTTGTCCCTGCTCCTTGAAGTCAAGTAAACTAATATTTATTTTGCCAGAGACATTATTTATTTAAATTTTTTTTTGTTTTTAAGTTTAATGCCAGAATGCTATGTAATCAAAAAGCAGTGTGAAACAAAAATATACAACTGGGTGCAAACAAGCACTACAAAGTTCAGGGAAGCTAGATGAATAGTTGCTGATATAAGGGTTTTTTCTGCCCTTTTTGCATTGAAAAAGTTCAAGTGCATCTTCACTTTTCACTCTGAGGGTGATGGAGCACTGGAACAGGCTGCCCAGGGAGGTTGTGGAGTCTCCTTCTCTGGAGATATTCAAGACCTGCCTGGACAAGGTCCTGTGCAGCCTGCTGTAGGTGACCCTGCTTCGGCAGGAGGGTTGGACTAGATGACCCACAGAGGTCCCTTCCGACCCCTACCATTCTGTGAGTCTGTGAATCTGTGCATGAATTGAGGCAAAGATCCAATGAAAAACATAATATATGGTCTCATAATTAATGACTATGATAATATATGCACATAAAGCCTGAATTAGAGTTGTACACATCTGAGTTGTACATCATCTGGAAAGTATTGTATAGAAGAGAATCCAATAAGGTCTGCAGCACTGACTTTTCCTTTACCAAATTTTAAATAGCTGTTGAAACAATGAACGGTATAAATTTCTAAACTGCAAACACTTCATTCTATGATTGTCAGGTAATCTAAATGAAGAAGTCTGTCCTATTTTCTCATATATTAAGTTTATTTGTTCAGTATTTATGTATTAAAATAAACCATTGATATTATTTTGGAATAATTTTGGTCATGATATTTTAGAATGGTGTGACAACAGGCCCAGATGTGTCCGACCTTAAAGCTGCGACCAATTCTAACAAATCATTGTTTTTGCCAGTTCTGTTCACTGTGTCTTTTATTATCATGTGGTCTTCTGACAATTCTTGCTAGTCAGAATGACCACTGTCAAAATGCTGTCTAGACAAAATGTGGTTTTTTTCAACTTTTGCAGATCTAAGTGACCAGCTTATGGAAGTGGTTGGTCTAGAAGGAGCCATGGAGATGGGACAGATATACACAGGTCTGAAAAGTGCTGGTAGGCGGCTTGCCCAGTGCTCATCTGTTGTCATCAGGTATTGGCAGCTTTAATTTGCACTGCACTGTTGTAGTGAAATAGTGAAGTTTTATATATTATCAGTTCACTTTCTTTGGGAGTTTAATAGTCAGAACTACTGTACTTATTTCTTGTGGAAGTATAATTTTTGTAAATGAAATGCATCTATTCCAGCCATATTCTGTGTCCATACATCTTCTTTTCTTTATATGTGCCAAGAAACTAGAAAAAGGGTGCTTACATTCAGTCTTCATATGTTGTATTCAACTGTCATTTCATCCTATGAAGAAATATTGTCAAGCAGTTGGAGCATAAAGAGTAAGGCGTGAACATCTTGGGTTTTATTACTGACATACAGTCTGCTCAGTTTTGAGGAAAAAGTCATTTAACATTACTTTGACACGTTTTAACCCATTTATAATGCACACATCACCAGGGAATACTAGCATGTAATTAGTATTTCTAAAGCATTTTTTTGATCTGTAGAAGTCAAAGTGCTCTGTTTTTAATTTATGTGCTGTTTACTGAACACTAACAAGTCACGATTAATAAATGTGTTGGTATGTGTGAGCTGCCAAGGATGGAGCACTCTAATTTAGTTGTGTTTTATTATTTGTTATGCTAAAAGTGACCAGAACATTCACAATAGAGGAAACTTGGATTAGGACTCAAGGAGAAAACAATTATTCTAACTTTTGGATTAGACAAGGACTGGAAAAGACAAAGAGATGCTCGATTCTTCGTCAGTGAAGAACATCACAGGAAGGAATTTCCAAAATATTAATAAAATCATCACCTATAAAATTATAAGCCCCAAAAGCCTTAAACGAGCATAAACCAGAATAACAGCAATAAAAACTTTAAGAAAATAAGTAGGCTTTGCCAAAGCACGTGGCATATTTTTGAGAAGGTCTGGGCAATGTTGACTTCAAAAGTACTCTCGTGTGGATAGCCAAAAAAGACCACAGAGGCGTGCCATCCTTCTTTCAATACCAAGAGATAATATTTATAATCCCACATCAGCAGGACCACAACTGCAAAACATTCAGAACCCCTCAAAACCTATAAAGTGAGAGCTCATTGAACATTCTTCCCTTCTTCCGCTTATGGACACAGGTGACATTGGACAATCCCATGTACTGTTAGTCATTTTCAAATAACGTCCAAGCTGGAATTTCTGTTGCCCAAATAAGTGCTCTGTTGACTCTTTTTTCCATTATTAGATTTATCTGCTCTGTATTACTTCTAATAGTCTTGTGTGCAAACTACTATAATGCAGAAATATAGGGTTAGAAAAGACCCCAAAATATTGTCCTTTTTTTTATATTCTCATTTGCCTATATTTTTCTTTATGTGGTACCCAAAACTAGAGAGGGAACACTGGCTGTAGCTTTATGTTAAAATCAGTGCCCCTTTACTAACAGTTTAAATTTATAACATGGTATGTTAAAGCCTCTGAATATAGTACAACTGTCATGTTATGTGAGTGCTCTGTATAACCCAGAGTTAGACAGAAGCGTGAATACATCTTTCATGGTTCTAATAAATGGTGATGATAGTGCTAAAATTTATTTCTTATTTTCTTCGTAGTAGTCAGTCTAAACTATAAAAAATAGCAGAGTTTCCTGTGTCTTTCCAGTTAATAAGGTTTATTCCTGAAGTTCTTGAATAATCCACTCTCTATTTCACAGATTACGGACTGTTCTCCCATGAGACAGTTGCGTATTACTAGCAAGATGTGTGAATGTTTGCAATTTTTTTGCTTTATGTGTTGAAAATCAAACTAAGCCTACTAAGTGGCTAGGTTACTTTTGTAAGCATGTTGGGTCATCCTGGGAATTATATAGAAACTATGAGGTAAATCAGAATTATATTTGTGTGCCATCACATATATCTCTCCTTAATACATTTATCTATTCTGTCTAGTTACTTATACTATTAAATATATCACTTTAGGACCAGCAAGTCTCTACCTATGCAGATAGATGGGGAACCTTGGATGCAAACCCCTTGCACGGTAAGGATACTGGTGATACTGGGATACTCTGGCAAGAAAGCTGAATGAAATATTTAGGAACTTTTTAAATGAGTAACAAAAATTACAACAGTCAGAAATATTAACCAATTTATTTACTTTCAGTTCTTCTTCAGTGATAGAGAATATTTCCATTTAAAAGACAACATTGTCATCAGCATTAAGTCATCTTACTGAAGTAAAATCTTCACTCACTTTTATTACATAGTTCAACACCCCCTGCATTTTCAATTTATCATGCTGGTTTTTATCACAGACTGGGATGGAATAAAAAGGCATTCATTTCAAAGTCTGGAAAATACTCAAAGGGTGCAGTCCCAGCATCCCTTTACCCAATCTGATAATTTATTTATGATGATGTATCAGATTTATAGTCTGCATTGCTGAGGAAGAGCCAATGTTAGTTTTCTTTAAAAATTTAGGAAGATTTTCCATTTTGCTTTTGAGAGTTCATATCAAGGAGGTTTTATTTAAAGCTGAAGTCTTGACTGTGCTGGTTCCATTATACAATAGAACTAATATTTTTAAAAATCCTTACAGTTTAAAGGAGAAATGAAGAAAATTATTAGTCTCTTTTTCAGCGCCCACACATACGAAGTGAGGGCAGGTTAACAGCAATCCAGGGAAGGGAAGGGGAAAGGGGGGGGTAGGAGGAGAGGAGAGGGAGGAGAGGAGAGGAGAGGAGAGGAGAGGAGAGGAGAGGAGAGGAGAGGGAGCTTGCTCAAGGAAGGTTTTTTGAGTAACTGTTTACAGACAACACGAGGAAGGTGGAACTCTAAGAACTCTCCATTTCCATCTCTGAGAAATTATAGAGGCTAACCAAGCAGTTGGAGAAGAAATTTAAGCTCTTGTTGAATATAGTCATAGTAACATGTTTTATTATACCTTTTACTAATTTTGTTTCCCTGAAGAAGACCTGTGTTTTTAAGTAGATGAATTGCTGTAGCCTTGCATCTTGTTAAGTATGACAAAATAGTAACACGATAAGGAAGAAATCCCACTACAGATGGGAGTAATTCTCCAAACCAGGGATCACTTTCATGAGCTTTGTGTTTGTAGTGGAATTAAAAGCTACACGAAAAAGTAAAAGGGAGCACCTTCAGTAAGGTGCGAACAGGCATGGCAGTTGATAATCTATGGGTTAAGATGACAGAAGAGGGCTGTGGTAGTTCATGTTTGCCAGATAATGTAGAGCTGGACAGCAGCAAGAGTGCCTGAACTCTAATTCTCTGTGGTAAGTGCTCAGATACTGCGATGAGAGGAGAACCATGTGAACAGACACTGTGTGAAGACAGAACAGTGGGGATTTTATGAGATTTATTCCAGGAAACCTTTTGGAGTTAAGAGATATGATTATCTTTACCTCGTCTACAGCGATGGCTCAGTGCAGAGCAACAGTACCGAACCCAGCAGTTACTTGTACAAGAAAAAGACATGTAATTTTTCAGTTGCCAGATTACAGAAGAGAACTTATGGAAAGATGCTGGCAATAGCATGTGCTTCTTTTGTCTTGATTGCTTGCTCTGTGCAAAATCCCTGCTATCTGATTGATAATGTTAGCAGAAGCTGCCTGCACGACTGAGGACAAACCTGGAAAAAGAGACAGTTCTTATATTTCAATTACTGCCTTGAGAAAATAGTAAATTATTACTGATAATTATTGCTGTCTGGTTGAAGTGCCATTTTAGAGGGGATAGACATGGTATATACTTTTCTGTGAAACCCACCCTTTTTGCTATACCGTTGTTAAGAGAATATACTTTGTGTTACATACGAAAAACATATTGTTGAATGTATTTGTGTCCTCTGAGAAGAAAATACATGAACTGTTTGTCTATACTACTGCACCTCTATGAATTTAGATATTATTTAATGTTATATTATTCATTTTTAGGCAATTATTTTTTCTTTGCTGGGGAGTTTAATGTATCTGTTGCAATTGCTTTTGCATTATTGTACAGGTACCCCACTCTGTTTTCCACATCTTACAAAAGAAAAAACACAGATAGTCCAACCTCTCCCCTCCCCACTAATTCTAACCACACTAGAGTTTTTCCTTGAAGTTCTCTGCAAAGTAGCTAGGAATTCCTCCTGAGACAATAACAAAGGTGGATGTTAGCTTTCTCTCAGATGAAGTTTAAGATTTGATTTCTAAGTGTGTGCTTCACACAAAGGAATCTTTGTTTGGAAACCAAAGTGTATTTGATCACGTAAGTATCGGGATGACATATCCATGATGTGTATCCAAAAGCAGAATCTGAAAAAAACCCATAAAATCAAAATAAATTTTTGTTTAGCCAACTATGTAGCCAGTTATTTGAAGTTATTTGCAAGAGCTCAAATTTCAGAAAGAAATATGAGGAGGCCAATATAAGAATCAAGAGCTTTTGTCTTCTCTAGAGACAAAACTACAGTTTTCTCCCAAAATTACCTGAAGGCAAATAATTAATGGCCAGTTTTTAAATGGAAAAAATCATGGTGATTAGATAAAGAAATCCATTAGTTTAGTTCTTTAGGAAATATGTGAGAGTTTGGTATTCCTTTTATTTCCCCTCTTAGGAAAGTTCTTTTCCTAGCTCTTACAAGGAATTGAGGCTGACCTCTGAAGATGCTGGCAATTCTACCTGAGGCACTGAGACATGGGGGGACATTCCCATGCTACGTCTTGTTTCATGTCAGCATGCTAAGGGAAGGCACTTCTTAGTTTACTAGCTACCTTGTTTTAAGGACAGAAGCTACTGTCTCCGCACAGTACTGGCCTGCTTGGATATACCATCTCACTAGTTCTGAGGGAGAGACCCCTGAACCTTGTTCTATTGCACAGGTGATGTACATCAGTTAGACACAGCAGCTGAGCTTCAGGTTTTTTATTCTTCGGTGCTCCAGCCAGAAGGCTATTGTTTAAGAAAAGGCTGTTATCTGTCCTCCTCTAAATGTCCTTTAGAAAGTCAAAAGGACACGTTTTATTTTGGTAGAGTCATCTTGGGAACCTCAGTGTCATCTAAGTTCACCAGTTTTAGGGACTGACCTGTAAATATTGCAGAGACTAAGTGAGAAAGAAATTCATCCAGTCAGCAGGTATTGAATAACCGTCCCCCAAGGTGCAAGTTGTTAAACGCAGAAGTCCTTTTCTGTTTCTGCTTCAGATTTTGATACAAATGAGAATATTTTGCACATGATTTTTCAAGAAATCAAGTTCAACGTGATCAAAATTCTCCTGCTATTACATTATGTATATAAAGGAAAATAAGTTCTGCACCAAATCCCTGCTATGTATGGGATGCAGGCTGCACATGCAAGCTTGGAAATTTATTTCCTGTTGAAGGAATCAACAAGCTTATCTTTGCTACTTCTCCTTTCTGACTGGAAAAAAATTTTATGCAAATAGAACGAGTTGCTGACAGCTGTCCTTTCTTATGCATATAGAGGCCATGTTCCCCCAAAATGACAGTGTGGGCTCTGGGAAAATAGTGAGACATGATAGATAATGCAGTGATTCCCCAGAAGCTGTGATCTGTGTTTTTTCATTCCGGTGATCCATTTTGGTACTAAAGAAATTGTTGTGTGCTTCTTTTAACATTTTATGATCTGTTGTGCACACAGCTAGCATCCTTAGACGAGAGCAGAAATGCGTTCCTGTAGGTTCGGTGCATATTTAAAAATGCGAGTGTCTTGGTCTAAAAATATGTCATCCAGAATTATTCAATATGTTGAACACATGCAGACTGCTGTGTCTGACAAAATCATTCTGCTCTAATATAATAAGATGCAGAATCTGAGCGTCAAATTGTGTTGTTTTCACTGTTTTTTACAGAGGAGTCTTTGGAAGAAGGAAAGATGATAATGTTAATGTTATGTTAAACATCTCTTCTGATTAGCTGAAGAGGAAATTCTATCAGACCTCTCCCAGACAAATATAGCAACATGAAAGATATCTACGGTTTCACCTGATCTCCAAACAGGTCATTAATAGTAATGAAACTTCAAAGACTCTCAGGTTAATTCAATAAACTTCTAGCTTTAGCCATCAGGGTTTTTTTTAAGAAAAGTAATCTTTCAATTTAGCTACATAAATTATTAGCATTGTTTTGAAAAAAATCCATAAGAATATTCCATCTTAATTAGAAATAACTGCAATTTCAGTTCTTTCATCTATTCCTGACTTGCTTGGCATTATATCTGAAAGACTGTCAAGGTGCTAGCAACATTAGATTAAAAGTAGAAGATAGAAATGTCTATAGAAGATGCAAGAATATTGCCTAAATGAAGGAACAAAAATGAAAATCCATAGTCAGATCGCACCTAATGGATTGCCAGAAGTACAGTGTCATAGACATCTGAAACACATAGTATTTTTAGAATTGTTTACTGGTAGGAAAACTTGTAGTAAGCCATTTAATAATGAAATTCAGAAGTAATATTTCAAAATATTATCATTTGAATGAACCTTAAAAAGAAGTTTTGAATGAGTGAATGAATGAGTGATTGGTTTCTCTATAGCCTTTCCTTTAGTCCCTGGAGATGTGATGAGCCTGAGCACAAAGGTCCTATTGAAGTCCTACCTTTGTAGTTAAATCTAGAGAGAAACAAGAACTAAAAGAAAAAAAACCCAAACTTTTACTAATAATCACTATATGACAGAGCCAGGTGAGAAAATTAAAAGAGGGTCACAAATTTGCTTTCATCCAGATCCTTTGGCTCCAACACCACACAGATCGCATGAAGAAGCTGCAGCAGTATTCTAGACTTGTCTGTAAAGTGTCTTCTTTCCATGTTACTGAATGTAGTAATGTTTTCTTATCAGTTGTTTGTAATGGGAGAATTTAAACTTTTGAGTCTGCTTCTTTAGAGCAAAAAGGAGCTGCGTTCTGCATATGGTGGCTGATTTCAGTAGAATATTAGACAATTATTGCATAGTTAACACATAAATGGAAGTCAGTTGCTAGAAAAAGTTTCTGGTGTTTCTACTAAACTGCTGCATTTTTTCCCCTTTTGAGCAACAATGTGCATACATTTCTGTTTCGAGGCCGGGGTGATTTATTGAGTTTATAACACTTTATTTTGCAGCTGGGCATTATTTTTTGTGCTCACAGGTACACTGCACATTAATTATTTACCTATGCACATTTTTTCTTAATTTCACAACAGTATTTTTTTGTAATTGACAAAGCAATTTACTGCATGTGTGCTTTCTGCACCCCAGACAAATACTCTAACATGTACTGCACCTTCCTTTCCAGTTCAGATTGTTAAGAAAAGAATTAGTTGTGACTAATTGCCAATTAATTTGCAGTGGTTTTAGGGAGGAGGGGGAAAAACAATTGCACCTACTAATTAAAATTTAAAATATTCCAAAGTGTCATCTTTAGGTGTCTGTGGAATACATAATTTCCATTTTAGTTCTGCACTGGATGTGTAACAACCCTGAGCTTGGCAGCTCTATTAATTTAAAACCTCAGTGATACCTATTAGTACAAAACATGAAAAAAATGCCATTAATCATTTATTTTAATTTTGCAGGTCTGTCATTTTCTCGGTATGTTTAAAAATTATGATGACACCATAATGTTTTCCAGTCTACCTGTGTGAAGGGGAAACGGATCACACTACTTAGGAGAGAGACTAGAGTATATTATTAGAGTTTAATTAATGCCAAACTGATTAGATTTGATTGCACTTTGCACAATAATATTGTTAAGAAATTTATTTAAAAGATGTGTTGCATAACGCTTGTTTAAAACAGCTGGCCTAGATCTGAAGAGATTTTGACCAAAACGCCACATAATGCAAGTCACAGGTTAATTTTGTTTAACGCTTCTATAGGTCTTATTCATATCATGATAGCCAGTACAGCTCTTGATCACCTATGGGAAGATAAAAGTATTTGGTACTCCTGTGATACAGAGGTGTCACATCCCTCCATTTTCTACAAGGGGAGCAGCATATGGGCATCCAGACTGTGGGAAAACCCTCATACCCTCAAAACCACCAACATCCAAACTCTGCCGATAGCATGGAACAAAGTGACTCTAAACCAATAGATCCAACTTGATAAGCTTTCTTCTGTCAGTTTTTTCCTTCTGTCCTTAAAATACAGGATTTCTTTCTTTAACATTAATTGAAATATTATAAGCAGAGCTGATTGTCTCTGTTTTGAGTTTTCTGTTGTCATTTAGCATTGTACTTAGTACCTGTATTTATAACACCATGTTCTGTGTTAATAGTAAATATTTAGGCATTCTGTGAAGCCAGGAACACATAGGTAACCAGCACCTATTGTAGAAAAAGGAACATGAAAGCAAAACTGATTGACCTAAAATATATAATTATCACACAAAACTATTGATGCTCACTGCATTTCATCTAGTGGCTTCAAGGCATATTTTCAATTTTTGACCTGCTCCTGAAACAAATAAATGTCTGTTTTATTTTTTATCTTTAATATCAAAAATTCAGGCTTCTCCTTTGTCAGAAAATTTGCTGTCAACAAATAGGGAGCAATTACCATCTCTTCTTTTAAGAATTATGCTCTCTTTTAATTGGATCTGGTGTTCCTTCCCACAAATATATCATTGGACACACTTTCTAATATGGAAAGTTGATTTTGAAATTGCAAATGCATTATTTTTCTGCTAAACCTATTTACTAGATATTCCAGTCCTTTAAACTTCTGTGATAATGAACTCACAGGGTAAATTCTTGACTTCAGTTAGTAAATGAGGGTTTTGCCTTTGGCTTCAACAGTTTGAGTTTAGCCTATAATGTTGTGTTTTGGGCTTACAACAAAAATCCAAGATAACATAGCAATTCATGTGGCTATTTACTTTCCCCCTAAATGGATTTTTGTTATTTCTTCATTTTGCCTATTTTTAAATATAAATTTGTGCCAAAGAGAAGTTTTTTTTCTCCATCAGCACTTCAGGCACTCTCCTAATATATGTTTAAAATGTCCTCCATATTTTCTGTGAGTTATTATACAATTTCAATAAAACTGAGCAAGTGATCTCAAAAAAAGTTTTGCAGATTTCCGTAGTATTTTTATGAATATTTTTGTCAGGGTATCAGCAGTTACTAAAAATATGTTAGATTAGGGTTTGAGCTTTTGGGCTTTTTTTCTGAGCAATCTCTTTTTCTAATGTGTGTGTAAATCATAGATTCACCTAGCAAAAATGAAAACTAAAAAAAAATGGATCTTATTTGAAGTTTTTATAATTGTGCTTCTAATAAAAAAGACATGAGATTGCTTACTGAATGAAAGAGAGAAAATGAATGGTAAAAGTTAGTCTTTAGGCACTCCATGTGCACACACACAGAATCTATACACAGCTATAAGCAGTGAATTCTTTACTTTTAACTAAACTAAAGCTTGGTTGCTTGTAATTAAAGATTTTTCTTTTTTTTTTTTTTGTCCATTTCAGTCACCCATACAGCACTTTCAGTGTTCAGTCCTACTTTGACTTACAATTCTATTTCTCTTTCTGAGACCCTTAGTGCTGCTTAGTGCTGCTGCCCATCTCCAAGTCTGTGCTGTCACTTGCAGAAGTGCAGTGCCTGGAAGTCTTGAGAAAGACAAAATTGGCCTGTTCCAGGCAAGATAGTATAATGGTCCAGCAGGTATTACAAACATACTGATCTCTTTTTGTCACCCAAAGATACGATTTTTTAATCCTTTTCAGCAGGAAAATAAGGAATCAGTCATTATCATTGTTAACCAATACAGTGTTAACATACACTACCATGCATAAGTAAAAAAAAAAATACTTAAAATTTACACTTCATTTTTGTATTTTCCGAACGTAAAATAAATTTGACACCACTGGAATCATGCCAATTTATAACAGTTGAAAATATGCCTTGGAGAAATGCATGTAGGACTCCATCCCCACATGCATGAGTGGTTAATCATGTTCAGGCATCTTAGCTGATCTCAGCTGATAGGATACAACATACTGAAGAGGTCATGGTCTCTGAAACAGATGGCTCAAGCCAAAAAACAACATTACAAGTGATAAACATTTTCTCAATATGTAATTGCATTCATCCTCAGCAGCATTGAACAGCCCCAATCCGGCATGCAATCTGTATGGGGTCTCAGGATTACCTCACCTCTTCATACTAAAGCGATCTTTTGAGCTTTGCTCTTTTATTCATTTTAAGATGGAATTACTATGATTTACCTCTGAAAGGGAACTCTGAGGCCGTTCCTACTGCCACATCATGGCCAAATCTTACATTAAGCTGAACCCTTATGACTCTCGAAGAATTCACTCACAGCAGCTGCAGATTACTTCTTGTGTTGATCCTTAGGATCAGGTTGATGTCATCACTGTTCCTGAGCCCCAAAATCTGTCTTATAAAGTATGTGAAAGTTACAAAAATCCTTGAGGTGGTTTTCCAAGATGGACCAGATCATCAGATGGTTTAAAGTGACATCAATGGAATAGTGCCAATTTACCCCAACTAGAGATTTGGCTTCCAAAGTGGTGCCTGAAGCAGAATTTCTTGTGAGAAAATATGTTGATGGCAGTCTTTGACAGCAAGAGTTATTTTCTGTGTGAAATTAAACTAGGTTGCCAAAAAACCTCATATACAAATTTGATACTAATGAACAATGATGACAAAAAGAGGTCACATATGAAATTTGAGACTAATGAACTAAGGTGCATGGAAATGAGCATTTGGAGAACAAAGTAAAGGCTCTAACAGAGTTAAACCAGCCCACTCATTCTGTTGAGATTTTTATGTTTCTGTCTCCTTATATTGCAAAGTAAATTTCCACCCCAAGAAATGTACTGATCTATATTTTAATGAGCCTCTCCACGTGACATACATTTTTTGTTTCATTACTATTAGTGAATGACAAGTGAAGGATATTCATTTTAACTTGAAAATGTCAGGTATGCACTTTAAGAGATATATTTTTCCAGTTTTTAATGAGGTGGTGTTTCTTTTTGAAAGAACTACCCATCTCTGATGTGGGTACTATGCAGGTGACAACTGATATTTAATAAGTGATGGTTCTTGTATTAGTCGTAGTTCACTAAAGAAAATGTCTTGGATTGCTTTTGAAAAACTCTTAGCATCACTAGCCCAAAGGCAAGATGTGACCTTTTTATTACATAATGAGAATCATTTATTATCTTACAATGTATCTTAAAGTCACAGACAAAATGCCACTTTGATAATTGCTTTCAATTAGCTTTGAGCATAGCATACATTCATAAAATGTCTTCTCTAATTTAGACTTGAATTAGAGAAAATTGCAGACATAATCTACTTTAAGGTTGTCTCATTTAAGGTGATTCGTAGTTTTATATGAAAGAAATCAAAACGGGTGGCTTTAGAGCAGTCTTACAAAGTGTTTTAAATAGTCTTCAATATTTGAGTCTATTCTATTAACAATTAATTAACAAATTAGAATGCTAGTTCATCTTTTTTGACCTTTTTTGTGTATTAACTTTTGACTTTCGTTCGTAATGGTTATTTTGAAATGAAACAGTGTCCTGTATTAAAAGAGAAGTACAGCTTGATTAGATGTATAAATAAAGCATAAAAAGACATAGCTATTATCTTAATAATAGGTAGCAGCTTGGTCTGTCAGCAACACATGTCCTTTCCAACTTTTAAATTCTTACTCATCTTGTAGATGTGTAAAATATTGAACAGCCAGCAGTAAGTCCCACACTCAAAAAGTAAGATCACATATTGGCATGTATTTTATCGCATATGATTTTTAATACTGATTGTGTGTATAATTTAAAGTATTTGTGGAAAAAAAATTACACATAGATTGGTTTGCTGCATGCGTGACATCATTCATAAAAAATATAGATATTTTCCTTTCATTTTTGATTAAATGAAGAAGGTTTGGAAGTCACATATAAAGATAATTCAGGCATCTCAGATACTCAGAATTGAACTAGCTCAAGGGATAACTCTGTTTTTCTTTTTTCTTCCCCTAGATAAAAATTACTCACAAGAACCAAGCCCCCATGTTGATGGGACCTCCTCCAAAAACTGGTCTTTTCTCTTCTATCATCAAAAGAACAAGGAACCACAGCAAGGAATAAGCCTATGTAGTTTAGTTTTTAGAAAACCAGTTAGCTTTGTTGGGCTTTGGTATATTTATGCTGTAGATCTTTCAAGAACTGTAGAATATCTTCTACTTGCAAAATCATGGATTTTGGTTTAACAATTTCTGTAACTGGGCTAATGTAAAACTATGCTATTAGAAAAAAATACTGTCACAGTTTTGTAGGCATTTTGCATGATGAAAGCAGATGTTTACATAAAGTGATATGGCATATTTTCTGTTGCATGCGTTACCATTTATGAATCTATAGGCTAATTCTGCCATGGAATATGGGAAGAAAATGCCATGGGTAATTTGATTTACTCTCTTTTCCATTTCAACTTTTTCTACTGCAATGATCATATGCCATAGGTTCAATAGTATCCCTTGAATCAAGCATCTTCATGTCAATAGCCAGTTAGACCTGTTTCAGAGTAAAGTTTATTACAGGTCTCATTAATCTGTACTTTATTATTTCTTTCTACCCTGAGAATACTTCTGTTCATCTAAGCATTAAAATCTTATATCTTATTCTGATAACTCCTATGTATGTAAGTAACTGTACCTGCTGAAAACGTCTAACAATGTGTGCAGTATTCAAATGACCATGGTTACTCTTGTGGACATTTTTGTAAGACTGGAAGTCAATGCAAGTTTGAGCAAAACCTCTAAGGCTAAGGAGATCATGCTAAGAGTGAAGATAATAAGACTTGCAAAACTGGCCATCAGTATTGTTTATTGAAACACTAGAATTAATTTAATGGGCAATACATCTCTGTAACATGGCAAACTTGAAATCATTCTGCATATTGACCAATAGTATAGTGCGTATGCAAATAAATAACCAAAGCTCATGCCTAATAAAGTGCATTTCCCACCAAAGATTTAGTGAAGGATGCTTCAGAAAATGGGTTAATTAATAATTAATCAAGCTCACTGGAGTAGACTCACTTCTGAAAATTTACAGTTCTTTTGGTTACGTTGGCAATGTCCAGACAAATGTTGGGGTAGGAAAAAAAATTAAATGAATTGCAAGTAAATACTCGCTTTTCATTTGTTTCATAAGTTGACAGACATAGAAACATACTCTAAATATTGAGACATAGACACGTACTCTAAATATTGGTAAATTAAACTTATATCTAATTTTGCTGACATCATTATTTATAAATTTATGCCATCCATAATTTACTCATCCCCTAAATTAATCTTTTAAGCAAAGAATAAACTGTTATCTATTCCCCTTTTGTAGTCTGCAGTGTGGAATCAAAACACTTCCTGTCATAAATTTTGGGGAGGCAGTTGCTCAGGCTTTTACTTTCTTAGCCCTCCGAGAGACTTCCTAACAGCTTAGAAATCATAATACAGGGATTTGTCTGAGGTTTGCACAGCACTGTCTAATGTTGAAGGGAAGTCAAAAAATGGCAACTTTTTTCAGTATTGCATATAAACCATCTCAATCAAAACTTTTTGTGCAGTCTTAAAATTGTTCTTTGTTCAGTGAGCTACTTCTCAGCTCTGCATGTCTTAAGTTCTCAGAGATTTCATCAAAAAAAAAACAAGGAAAAAATAAAACTTTGCTTGAGATGCATGATTTCCCATTTTTATCTAGACTTTAAAATGTTAATGATTTATTAAATTATTTTTCTATCAGTTCATTCATCCATTTAAAAATAGTATTTCATCATGCTGTAGTGCACGGTACTGTGCATGTATTTAAATAAAGATACTATCATTTGTTCCTCAGTATAAGAATTCAGCAGAGTCCTAATTTATATAATAGACACTGAAGTAAAAGTCAGTATATAGTTGGTAAAGATTGTGTCTTTGAAATGTACAGTCTATGTTCTGTAAAGATTAGGAGGTAAATACCAATTAATGTTATGTTCAGCATTAGGTAGAAAAAATGAGGGCAATTATTTGCTACAACTAAGATCTTGTAGTTCCCCATTCTTGGGTCCAGTGGTGTTGACAATTACCGTAGGAGTAAATTTAATATTTTTCCTGTGCATTGCAAGCACAAATGCACACAGAAGCATTTGATGCACTTCTTAACTGCAAACATACGTAAGTATAGAGCAAAAGATACTTGAAAAAAGAAGGAACTTGCTGGCGCTGACATAATATTACATAAAGTGTACATTGGTTTTATGAAATAATGGTTACAGGTGACAAATATTTTGACATAAATTGACATAGGATTTTCTACCAATACTCTCAACTTTTTGTGGCAAAAATGTGTTTAACAATAATATGTAATGTGCTCTCTATGACTATCTCATGAACATTGTAACTCTGAAAACAAATAAAATTATACATAAGCTATTATTTAATAATGTATGCAATTTTAAATCTGCCAGTCTGTGATAGCATTCTTCACAACACATTTTTTCATATAAAAACATATAGATGGGTTCATGTAATCACTATTACACATAATTCTGGCTGGATATATAAAAAATAAATCAGATCTGTTGGTCGGTAGGTGTCAAATTCTCACTCTAGAAAAATATAATGGAGCAGCCATTTTACTAGAACGCCACTTATCATAGCAGTAACATTCTGTCTTTCCATTAATCTTGTTTGCTTCTTTGGCATAGCCTCTAGTAATTTAAAACCATGCTCATTAGAAAGTATTGATAGCAAAGAAAAAGTAGAGTACATGAAACATAGTATGAAAGGAAAATGCTTGATTTAATAAAAGAGAACTTCAGAGGGGGGTCTTTTTTTTCACTTCAGTATGCACAGAATCAACATCATGAAATTATAGATTGGTGTATGAAGTGAAACGAAGAATATATGCATGTATCTTCATACAGCTGAAATAGATGCACTATTCTTACGTTGACTGAAGAGTAGTAGCTGTAAACCTTTCACTGTTTACCATGAGGCATTCTTTAAGGCCTCATTAATGACGGTTGCAATATAAATGGAAGTTACAGATATGTAGGAATTATATCTGACTGCATTTGCAAATTTTTCATCTCTCTACTGTGATGCTGCAGCTGGGCAACGTGCTGAGGGAACAACATGATGTCTCAGGAAGAAACCTTAACTTCTGAAATGGGTTAGCATCACCCCCACTTCACATGAGTTCCTGTTAAAAGGAGGTGGAAGCATAATTTGTTGCAGAGACAAATACTGAATTACTATTTCCAGTACTTGGAAGATATTTGTATGCATATCATCACAATTATTTAAAGCTAGGGGGTTAGACCTTGTGATTTAGGCTTATTGGTGTGTGTACGTGTATGTGCATGCTAGATCAGGTAGCATGCTGATATGCTTAGGACTTTGATGAGCTAGGAAGCACTTGGTATTAGTTTCTGAAGCAGCAGTAGATCATAGAATCATAGAAAGTTTTGGGTTGGAAGGGACCCCTAGAGGTCATCTAGTCCAACCCCCCCACAGCGAGCAGGGACACCACTAACTAGATCAGGTTGCTCAGATGTTCTATAACATTTTCTCACTCTAATCAACTCTGTAGTATTACATGTAAATTGCAATGATGATTACCTAATATCCAAAATTATTTAATGCAAATAAAGTCACAGAGTTCAATGTGTTTCAAAATATCGGTGTAAAAAGTAACATTGTCAAAGAATGTGAGGATTTGATATCATTATTGCAAGAAATGGAGAAGAATACTTTTCAATCTATAGGTTAATATTTGTTTGTGGAGACTGTAGCTATTCAGTAGTTCTTGGTGATTTAGGGTACTAGTGCAATTCTGTAACATACTGCCTTCATCCCCAGCTGGCTTCTGGCACTTATAATTCTGAGGTCGATCATAGTGAGACCAAGGCTTTCTGGGAAGAAGTCACTTCAGAGAAGCGTTGTCCCTCAACTCTCTGGAAGAGTGACAAGAGAGAATGGCTACAAAACTGAAAAAAAACCCGGAACAGTTATCTCTAGACAAGGAAGCAGGAGAAGATCAGAGAATTTTGCCAAGAAATGACAAAACAGATGCTCAAAGTGATATGTGAAAGTGGTGGGTTGCTCCAAGGCAGCCCACAGAAATGGTGGTGCAGGGCCTGGGAGGCCAGATGAAGGCACTCAGGGCTAACGAGCAGTGATGTGCCAAGGAAGTGAATTGATTAGATTAATCTAGAGACCTCTTCTATTTAGGGCTGAAAGACCTGGGCCATTTTTCTTTCCTTCATGGGGAGAAAGTTTGTCCGATCAGAGTTGTGCCCAAGCAAGTGTGAAATGACTGAGCCCTTTGTAAAGGAGAGAACCCAAGGGTGGTCAAAGGAAGGTAAAGGATTTGCCAGGGCTTTACTTCTGCATGTTCTTGTACCATGTACAAAAGAAGACATTTGCCCTCACAGTTAAATAGCAGTTTTGCCAAACTGCTAAGCAGTTAGCAGGAAAGTAAAGAAATACATTTTAAACACTGAGGTGGGCTTGAGAAGCACTGCTCTATGTTTTATGCAAGAGCGGTGAAGAAAGTGTCAGCCTCTTGTGAGATAATTGCTGCTTGTCAGGTCTGAAAGCATTTTGTTTTCCCTCCCCTGTCCATAAGGAAGGAAACTTCTTGTGGTCCTGCTGAGGTGAGTAAAAGCTTTACTGTAGCCTTGGCTGGAAAATAAATAAAATATGGGTGAGATCTGGAAGCTGAATCTGTTAATGAGCTATAAAGTAACAGGTTAAAATCCTCGGCGTGTGAGGGTGTGCTGTGCAGTAATGACTGATGGTATAAATTCTTGTCAGGTCTGTCAAGATTTGCTGGTGTCTGCCCAACCTGGGCTTCCGACATGGGGCTCTTATACCCTCTGTGCACTCAGGCTCTGGATTTTCAGTTGATTTTGAAATAAGGAGGTTTGACCTTTCCTGTTCTGATTTGTGTGTCCGTGTCATGGATACGGATGAGGTTTTCCTGTTATCAGATTTGCTTAATTTTACAAGTACAGCTGAAACAGAGGAATTTCTCCATGACCGCCGACTTCCATTATGTGAAACTGCCCGACAGCTTGAAACTATAAATAGGACACAATACGTTCTAGGCATCTAGAATCTGGGCATGGTGGTATTTCAGAGGCTTATTTTTTTTCCTTTCTGATTCATGATTCAAAGAGACTACCCGAGAAGCACCTCAGGGCTCTCTTTAAATATGACTCATACAAAGAGTAAGTGATAATCATCAGGCTTTGTTATTTATAGAAAGATGGTAGCTGTGCTGGTGGTAAAACAGCAGTTTCATAGTGAAGTGCTCATTTCTAATAAACCTGGAAAATTATTTGCTGGCTCTAACTGAGTGAGAAGCAAAATTTTGAATTTTCAGGTCAATCTTTAGACTAAGGTTGATAATGACTGAAAATACTTAGCTGCCAATTAGACTATTTGAAATAAAGTTTTGGTTTTCTTTTTATTTTTTTTTTTACCTAGGGTCAAACTCACATGTTGTGAAGGAACATAGCAATTTGCATTAATAAGTAGCTTTTCTGGACAGGCAAGTGATCACGTCTTACTCTTTTGGGCCATGTTCTGCCTGCCAATAAGAAAATGCAAGTTGTCTATCTTCAGGCCTGTCAGTCTATTTACATGAAGTACAAAAAAAACCCACCGCACATAATAACAATTCTTCTTTAAACTATTTGTGTCTGCAAAGAGATAATGATGATTTGTA